ACCCCCCCTGTGCCTTCACTTTTTCACTTCTTTAGCATCCTTGTCTTTCCGCCTAAACTAAAGGAAAGTTTGCTCACAGGAGAGGACCGTCTCACACACTGTGGTGTCACTAGTATTCTGTGGTGTCTGCCATCCCAAGAACAGGAATAGTAGTGAGGAGAGGTACCAATGGTAGTACTTCTTTGGGTAGGGATGGAAGAAGCACTGATAACCAAGGTAGGCCTGGTAACGTGGGCAAGAAATCCCAGCTGCCCAAAAGGCTAAAGCAAGAGGATCAAAAATCCACTGTCTGCTGAGTACCCACCTAGAAACAGGAGGACATCTGCCTAGGCTACAGAATGAGTTTAAGGTCAAACTCAGCAATTTAGAAAGACTCAATACATTAAACAGACAATAACAAAAAGACATGAGCAGGGGGTTGGGGGAGAGGCTTTAGATGAATGGTAGGTGATGAGATTAAAGGCATAAGCCAGGCAAAAAACTAGATGGGAAAGTTTCGACTATGGAAAGTCACTGAAGTCATGAGAGAAGAAGCTAATCCCTGAAAGGAGGTACCAACAATGCCAGCAGACAGTGAGGAGGATGGGGAGCCTTCACCTAGGAGATAGGAACCCTCAGAGCTAGTGGGGCTGATGAAGGAATAGGCATTCTAGAGAATTCTCACCCATTTATGGGATCTAAGTCCTCACTCTCTCCTCTCCTCTCATCTAGGTCTCTCCACTGTTTGGAACCATCTATGATGCTGTTTTCCTGTTGGCTGGGGGAGTGACAAGAGCCAGAGCAGCTGTGGGTGGTGGCTGGGTGTCAGGTGCATCTGTGGCCCGCCAAGTTCAGGAAGCCCAAGTCTCTGGCTTTTGCGGGGTCCTGGGAAGAACCGAGGAGCCCTCCTTTGTGCTGCTGTCCGGAGACCGGCTCCATGCCACACACCTGCTGGATCCCATCCGAGGCTCTATGCGCTCAGCTGGGACCCCTGTGCACTTCCCTCGAGGTGGACCTGCACCTGGACCAGACCCTTCCTGCTGGTTTGATCCAGATGTGATCTGCAACGGAGGTGAGGGGAGCACCCTCAGGCTCCCACTGAAACAGCATGGCAATTCACAAAGTTGTGAGAGAGGGAACCCCATTATTTTCCCAGGTCCTCCTTCAGCCCATGTCTTGCTCAGGGCTCCTCTCAAGGATTTCCAAAGCCCTCGAGGACCCTGCAGCATCTCCAGAGGAATTTGTGAGCTTTCACACAGCTCAAAAGCCCATTTCTTAGATTTGGCATGACTGATTGAACATCGCCCTCACTTAAGGGGTCTTCTCCTTCCAAGACCAAGTGTCCCTCTCTTTGTCCCTTCAGGAGTGGAGCCAGGCCTGGTCTTTGTTGGCTTCCTCCTGGTGATAGGGGTGGCACTGATTGGAGCCTTCCTAGCTCATTACTTGAGGTGAGTGAGGGGAGTAGAATTGTGCCACAAAGCCAGGCGGTGAGGTCCACAAGACGGGGAAAGTCGTCTTGGGGAGGGACATGAGATCCAGGGAGTTGGCAGAGTTCCAGAGCATGTTTAGAGAATAGCTATATTCCAGTACCCTTCCTGGAACTAATGACACCCCTCTGCTCTATCCCCTGCTGGCTTCTTATGGAATTTGTGGGGATGATCACTGTCCCCCACCAGGCACAGGCTGCTACACATGCAAATGGTCTCCGGCCCCAACAAGATCATCCTGACTCTGGAAGATGTTACCTTCCTCCACCCACAGGGGGGCAGCTCTCGGAAGGTCAGGAAAGCAGGGAGCCAGGAGCCACCTGTCCCTTCCCTGAGCCAGCTGTCCCCCCAGCTCCCATGTGAGAAACAGCTTCTGGCCCAGCTTTGTCCTTGGGAATCTGAAACCTCATCTCCTGTCTTGGGCTGGTGTGAAGGTCCAACTAGAAAATAAGTATTTGTTTTGTAAACTGTAAAGTGTGGTGTACTGGGTACCATTTCCACCTGTCCTGCAGATTCCTTTACTTCCTCTCTTTCACCCACAGAACTCAGCAACCGCAACCGAGGACTTTAGCCCCTGAATATATTCTGACACTTGCATTGACCTCTGTCCTCAGGTGGCCCAGGGCAGTAGATCGAGTCTGGCTACCCGGAGCACATCAGACATTCGAAGTGTCTGGCGCCAGCCCCCGGAGAGAAGTGTCCCCAGCCAGCCCCCGGAGAGCACCAACATTGGCCTCTATGAGGTGAGCTAATCCCCACTTAGGCTGACTGGTACTCCAGGAGGGGAGAAAAACGAAGACTGCTGGAACCAGTGCCAAGAGGAAAAACACTCCCAAGGGAGAGTCAAGTCGCATCCTGCAGGCTCCAAGCATGGAGATGAAGGTGGGGAGGATCTAGGGTAAAAGTCACAGATTTAGCAATCCTAACCTGATTCTCCAATCTGGAAATCCTTTCTGCCACAAGATCCAGGTGAGAGCTCCCCAAAACCCAAAATCTGAAGGCTGGGGCTGCTATGGAGCATGCTGGCATCAGCATGCAGGCTGGTGTAGCCAGTGAGGCCAATGCCTTCTCTACTGAGAATCCCCGCCCCTGCCCCCTCAACATTTTCAACCAGTTCTGGTCAGAATCAGGAACACAAGTCCTCCATCAGAAAAGGAATGCCAGAGAACATTAACAGCTGGGCCGGGACTTGTGAACGTGGACGAGTGGACGAGACATGCCAGGAGGAGGTTTGGAAAGTTCAGCTCAATGAAAGAGTGGGAGAGCACCCAAGCTCAAGGTCTTGGAGAGAATGAAAAGGGTCTTACTGTGTCACCCGAGACCATGATGACCGGTTCTCAGGGACACATTATTATTGGTTTTTAAAATAATTTATTTATTTTTATTTTATGTGCATTGGTGTCTTGCCTGCATGTATGTCTGTGTGAGAGTATCAGGTCTTGGAGTTTCAGACTGTTGTGAGCTGCCATGTGGGTGCTAGGGATTGAATCCATGACTCTTAACCATTGAGCCATCTCTCCAGCTCCATATTACTGTTATTTTAAGCAAGTTGTTAGTTGCTTGGGTCCACCCTCTGCCTATCTAAGTCTTTCTTTTCTCTGCCCCAGCCCACTAAATGCAACCCCCAGGTTTTAATGGCCATTAAAATGCATCTCTACATTTACTTCCAAATGCTTATTAGGAGGTAATACCAAATCCTCATGAATCTCTTCTAGTTCATATCTCTTAGCAACAAGCAGGACCACTAATCTGATTTGCAAGGACCAGGGCAAATTAAGAGCAAAGGGCTCCTTGTTCACCCAGGTGACAGCAGCAGATCACTGAACCAAGTGGCTACACCAAGGCATACCATGAACTGACCCCACAAGCAGCTGGAGACAATGAGGCCAGGACCCAAAGGGGTGACACCTCCCTCCATAGCTGGCTCATTATAATCCCTGAAAACTCCTAGTACAGCGCTCTCTCATGACAAGGGGCAGTGACGAGGGCTGTGTACGTAACAGTTCGCTTGTGTGAACATGGATGGGTATATCTGGGGAGGTGAGGACCACCATACATGGCTCCACATCTTGCTCACCTGGGCCCTGGCCCAGCTACCTGTGAAACATTGAGCTGCTTGCATCTGTGGTTCTCTGTCTTATAACAGATGTGCTCTCG